CAAGTTGACTGTCGTAATCTAATTGATTTGGTTGAGTAGATTAATTAAAGTTAAAATCGAACGAAAGTCAAGTTAACTACAGTAGTAATCCTTGATGTGCTTGATTTTAGACATTCGTCAAACGTCTGAAGACTTTCTTCAGAGTTCATCAGCGAATCCTAGCCTTTTTAAAACTCCCTCTAGAATAATCCAGGTTTTATAGAGTTACATTAATACATTACCCTTCATTCGTTGTAGAGAATTCTCGCCCTTTTCTTTGAGAAGTCATTAGCTAGTCGAGGATGAGTACATATTACCATTCTATCCCGTTCCGTATAGCCCTCTGATTCCTACCTTTATAATGAAATAGGATTTCAAGGATATGCACAACCTTATTTAAGACAAGTCTACATAATACACGACAGTCATTTAAGTGTCACTCACTTAACACTCCTAACGCCGAAATCATTGATGCTACTATACTTGGCTAACTTTATGAAAACTTTTAATGTTGATAAAATAAGTGAAGCGATTATTGATTGATTTCCATACTGTTTACTGATTGTTACCACTGAGATTGGTTCGTTTGCAAAGTCGAGTTGTGGGATGCGAGATAGTCGTCTTTTGATTTATAACTCTTCCTTGGACACGAATCTAGTCTAGTCATTTTATCAACCCTTAACTTTTCTCTTTACTCTCTCTTAAAAAATGTCTTATTGCGTCATTCGAAATTACCCTTTGTCACACAAGCTGCCTATAATCACTCATCTAATAGGAATCAGAATTTGTTTTTGAATAATTCGAATTACCTACATCCTTTTATCGTCAATCAGTTTATATTTTATTGAATTTGAGATTTTCCCGTCGATTGATTGGACCAAAGTGCTCGGTCTCAGTTTGACATGTCGGCTTCTTGTGCAGATGCTTCGACAATGTCTGAGCGTTTAGTTAGTATTTAATTGGTGGTTGAAGACTAGCAGTGGAATCCAGGATAACGTGCATTTCGTCCTATTTGGGACTCGTCAGCTGGATATACCTGCATTTCTCAGTGAGTGATGATGTTCCCACCGAGGCTCGAACCTAATGCCCATAGTTTCAAACGCCAAAACATTATCCACTAGACCACTTGGGCCACGAGTGCCACCTCTTGTGCAACGGGTCATATTAATTTTATTGAATTTTTGATTTTCCTGTCGATTGTTTAGACCGAAGTGCTCGGTTTCAGGTTGACATATCGACTTCTTGTGCAGATGCTTCGACGATGTCTGAGCGTCTGGAACTATGGGTACTGGGTTCGAGCCTCTGTGGTAACATCATCAATCATTGAGAAATGCAGGTACATCCAGCTGACGAGTCCCAAATAAGACGAAATGAGCATCCTGGATTCCACTGCTAGTCACCATCCACCAATTAAATCAGTTCATAGTTTGCAGCTCTTAACACTTACTTCTCTACGCAATCAAGCTACATCTTGATGTCTTTCTGAATTTCAGATAGTCTCTACGAGTTAAGAGAGTAAGAGAAATTTTACAAGATCTTATTTTTAAAATAAATGCCTATGAAATAAACTAACAATATAATGTTATAAGCTGAAGCCTTCATCATTTCAGCCAATCTTTTCGGTGTTACCGTTGATACTGTATCATTGATATCTATATGTTTTATTTTTGTTTATCGTAGTAAAATTTGTCTTAAAAAGATACTTAGAAACTGTTAAAGATTTCAGACTAGAAAATTACATATTCCAGTTTCGCGCTTCATCCAGTAACCTATGATTATATTATTATCATTCCCTTGGGTTCCGAGTGGGATATAAGGCTTCAAAAACACATCTCCACTTTCTTCTATTTTCTGCCTTCCTCTACAGCCGACTGGGTCCACGACTGCCCATAATCACTCGACTCCGCCTCCTCCTCGCCACACGATCTCCTCCATATCACCGTCGCACCGACGACCCATTCTTCGCTTCCCATTGGAATTCCACTGAAGCAATGGCCTGGATAACCTGAGATGTAATTCGACAGCTTTCTTAATTTAAGCCCAATCCATTTGCATTTTCTCCCAAAGATTTGTTGAGCGATCAACTCTTGGTCGGTTTGTTCCACTGCAGAGTTTCTTGTTACTAATTCTTTCTGGCCATTTGATCTTCAGTACGGAACGAAGGCAGCTGTTGATGAAAGTCTGTAGCCTGTTGGAAATTCTTTGTATGACACACTGGTCAAGTTTCTGACATTGATGTTGGAAATCCGAATCTTGTTCTTTATACTGAGACGGAATGCACAAAATTTCCAAACTGATTTCAGGTTGATGGAGGCATATCTCTTGCCTTTCTGATTCTGACTGGCTTTGATATATTCATCAATTCCGCCTGTGTAGTTGAAACGATACTTCCCAGATAAGTGAAGCAGGCGAAAACCTCTAGTTAATCTCCCCCCCTCCATTGATGATGATTGGTGCTGGTTGTTGTTGCTGTTGGTTGGTTGGTTGGTTATCTTCATCACCTCCGTCTTCTCTATGTTCACCTACAGTCCTGTTTTCGCTGCCTCCCAGCCTCTTCAGCCAGTTTTTTTGCTTTTCGCCTGTAGGTCTATCTTCGAGTTTGTGTGACATTAGACTAATATCATCTGCGATCTTCTAGAGTCTTCTTATCAGTGAGTGCAGCGTATTCCTGTGTTCTCAATCACTACACATTATCTTCTGCATGATCCAGTGATAACAGGCAGCCTTGTCTTACTCCTGTATACACTGCGAACGTTTCACTGAGTTTTCCGTTGTGGAATAGAATATAAATTGACTCACATTCCACTTTATAAATATATTGAAGCTACTACAATTAATCTTCTACCAAAAGATTACGAAATGCACAATTCAAAGAAAGAATCAACCTTAAAACGCACACACACACACACACACTTGCGTTAAAGCGCTCAAAGTAGTGATGTTTGCAGTAATATGCGGGATTTGGTTTACTATAGAATGAACAGTTTTAAAAACAAAACAAACAGTGACCTTAAAGGTACAGTTATCACGTCATACGATTCGTGATAATAATTTTAACAGACTGCCTCAACACATACACACTTCATACACAAGAATTGCGTTAAAATACACACGAGAATAATATAAGTTTTTCAGCTACATTGAAATTATAAAATATATATTGATCAATATCTGTTTTTTGTGTGATGAGAATTAAGGTTGGAAACTTTTTCCCAGTAGATAATAAAGTAGTATATGAAAGACAATCTGAAGAAAAGTGAATAGAGTGAATGCAGTAGCCTGTTTAAATCACTAGGTTACTTAAATTTCCATGCAGCACAATAATAATAATGCATAAATTCTGTATTTCTTATTATTTTAATCATCTAATTAGGATGGCTACATGAACTCGGGCACATTTTTTAAGGTTAGCTTTCAACTGAGTTAGTGATACGGTGAGGATAAAAACCATTGCAAGCTGTTTTTGTGCATAGCAAATGCCATAACAGATATTACAGCTAGCTGCATAAATCCTCTTTAAAATAGACTTACGTAATATCTGGCATGATTACAGCATTCCTCTAAGCGTGTAATACAAAGGCCAACTGCATGAGAACACCTACCAGTGGTGTGACATAAGTTGTTGTTGTTAGAACCATCAACAGTTCTATATTGGATCACCTCATCTAAACAAGCTACAAAGCTAGTATTGAACAGCCTTCCTCTACCATGTATCAAGTATTAAACAAATTGCCGGAGGCTACTAGATACCGAGCACTCCAAACTGCAGACATCATTGCAATTCGTTTTAATCACTCGGAGCTCTGTGTGCAAAAGAAAGAGATCCAGTCACTATGGCTACCGTGGTCTCTGGTTATTATTATTGTTCCCTTGAGTTCCAGGTGGAACATCAGATTTCAACAACACATTTCCACTTTGTTCTAGTTTCTGCTGTCCTCTTTAACTGGGCTCCCGATTGCCCATTATCTCTCACATTCTTCTTCATGTCACCCTTGGACGACCCACTCGTCGTTTCCCATTCGGGTCCAACTCGAGTAATGGCCTAGCCCATGGTGTCATTCGACGGTCTACTCAGAATATTCCCAGTCCATCTCCATTTTCTCCTACACATTCGTTGAACGATAGGTTCTTCGTTAGCTTGTTCACAGCTGACAATTTTGACAATGCAAACCTAATACATCTGGTCTCCCAGATTCCGAGCACCTTTATGCCACATGTTCTCATTTCTTTGACTACATGGGCAGCCTTCCCAGCTTCACGTCCTCATTCTTATTCATGCTTTCATCAAAAGTAGACACACATCAGCTGACTGACTTCCGGAAGGTTTTCACCAACCAGCGTCATTTCACCTATCTGATTCCAGAGAAAAATTTTCCGGAGTAGGGCCGCTCCCAGGTTTTGAACTGGCTGGAAAACTAGCAAGCCTTTAAACTAGGCGAGGTTCTGGCCTCTTGTAGAGGACTGAATCTTGCTTCAGGAGGAACAACACTGATTCATTCACATAAATACACTTGCTGTCAAGGTGTAAATATCTTGCAGTGAAATACGCTTAGACTTCTGTACTATTTGTCAATATATCATATAGAATGAAGCTATATAATTCATTTCCTATTCAAAAGTGAATAGATCTCAGAAATTCAATGTTTGTTTTTTTGATATGACAGAAATTGTAGGTTAAGTCAGTCAATCAAAGCGAGAGAGAGAGAGAGTATATTGATCCACCCTATCAATAAATTTGATTCATTCAAGATTAATGCATAGAATTATAACTAAGGTGGTAATGTATATATACATAGTAATTACACGGATTTATAAATAGAAATTTCGCCAAGCTTAATTTTGGTTGACAACTTACCAGACAAATATATAATTGAGGTTCATTTGCAAAATCCTCACTAGCCAGCCACACTGTAAGTGGTTCGGTAGTTAGTCAAGAAAAGAGGGCGGGGGGGGGGGTAAGATTGGGCGTGAAACTACTAGAACTTCTTCAAAAGCTTGAAGCTCAATTATGAATGCAGTGGGGGAGCGGGAAAATCTATACTTCAAAATGACCCTTTAACTCAAAAAGATCTCAAAAGTCAGGAGAAATAGAATCCCGCCTGTAGAAGACAACTAATTGTAGAAGAAAATATGTTGTATATATGTTATGTTAAGCCGGTTAAACACACAAACAATTGAAAATTCAGGTCAATTACCTACCTATACAACATATACCAACACCAGTGTGTACAGGTTTGCTTTCATTAATATCTTTCACACCCATATAAAAAATTTAGTAATAAGTAAATACAGTCGAATAAAACAGAACACACAAATCACAGTAAAATGCATAAACAATTCTAGACAAAACGTTTAAAAACATATATATGTAAAACCATTCAAATTAATTAAAAGTATTCGGAGGATAAGAAAGAGTAGGCGAAATTTACATAACACAAGTAGCAGGTCTAACTTGTATAACAGCAATATATATATATATATATATATATATATATAAGTAGGCATTTTGTAAAATCAATAAATAGGAGAAAGTAATCATAAAACTCCTTTTTTTGTAAAACCAAATGAGAAACCAAACACCATTGAGTGAAGAGTAAAAAGGGAATTATGAACACTGTGATCAATGCTCACCCTCAGGAAATGAAAAAGAAAAAGTATTACAGAATATTATCTGTCATGATGTATACGTCACAAGAGAAATAAGAGAGACAGAAAACAATAAGGATAAAAACCACAATGATCACTAGAAATGAGACAAAATTACTGAACTAAATCAAAATAAAAATAAAATATTAAAACCAATAATATTATTTAATATATAAACGAAATAAATCAATGCAAGTTTTATCACATGAAGGAGCAGTGAATAAGATCCACTTTTAGATCCATTATCACAGAGTCCAATGTGTTCTATCAAAGCCCAGTGATAAACCAGATATAATCCTTCTCGCCTCTTCTCTATCAATTGATTCAAATACATAACAAATAAAATGACTTGCTGTTGTACACGATTCATCACCTGCTATATAAGCAAAATAATTTGTCTCATCAGTTCTTCGACCACATGAAGATATTTGAGGATAAGAATGACGTAGTAGAGGTTGATCAGCACGATCAATTTTATCCTCTTTCCATTGTATTTTCCATACAGTTACGCCTAATTCTCCTAGAAGTGAAAAATAAATCACATATAAACAAGATTAATATAGTTTAATTGAATTTTAGATTTTCCCGTCGATTGATTAGACCGAAGTGCTCGGTCTCAAGTTGACAGGTAGGCTTCTTGTGCAGATGCTTCGACGATGTCTGGGCATTTAATTAGTATTTAATTGGTGGATGGTGGCTAGCAATGGAATCCAGCATGGGCATTTCGTCCTATTTGGGTCTCGTCATCTGGATGGATAATACTTTGGAGTTTGAAACTATGGGCATTGGGATAGAGCCTCGGTAGTGGGAACATCATCATTTACTAAGAAGTGCAGGTACATCGAATTGACGAGTCTCAAATAGGACGAAATGTGCATCCTGGATTCCACTGCTAGTCACCATCCACCAATCAAAGATTAACATACATTTATTATTTTTTAATTCCTTCACGTTCCCAGTGGAATATAATGCTTAAAGCAAGAGGCTTGAAGTTTCGGTAGCAGTGGTGTTTGCTTTTATGGGATGTGTTGCTAGCCACCTCACGCCTAACCTTCTCTTTTTACCGGTTTTATTACTGGCTTAGCGAGGTAAAGGAGTGCGTCAGCCGAGGATCGAACCCCGGACCACGAGTGTGGTCAACAAGCATTCTACCACTGTGCTACCGACGCTGAATATAGATTTATATCAATAGTTAATTGTATTTGACAATAAGGAAACGATTTATAACTTATGACAGATAGATAGATGATAGATGAGTGACGGCATACGTTCAATTTGTTGTAATACGAATAAAGCACCCGACCCTTACCTTAATTAACATAGCTTGTCAGGGAGATTAACAGATGGCAATACTTAGCACAGCTTAGCCATCTTAATCGACAAAAAAGTCACAACCTCACTAACTTATCTTTCCTACCTGATAATTCTACAGTCAACCTCAACACTACTTAACATTTTGCCTCACTCAAATGCGGACAACTGAATGAAGGCATGCGAAGTCAAAAACTAGTGGTGCTTATGTAATATGCCTTCAAATATCAGCCAACATATTTCAGTAGTAAAGTAGAATAAAGTGATATGTTTGCCAGTGCACACAGAAGTAAGCATAATGCACGAAAAGAAGACAAAGAAACACAATACGAGGGGAAGAAGCAGAGCACCAAAAATCTGTGCAAATGACGATTTTCAGATAAGGTATATATCATTTTGCTATATAGAGGTACCAAATTCTAAGTAAACACTCCTTTAACAAGTCTCTCGTCTTCTGTCATTACTCAATACTGCCTCAGCTTGAGCCCGAATAGCTCAATGGTAACGACTCTGACTACAGCATTGGGTAACACGGGTTCCAATCTCAGGAAGGATATGCAATCTTTCAAGACTTCAGATACGCCTGACTGACGAGTGCCAGCAAGCACGAAACCTAGAGTCTGAGAGTTAGTGGTTTAGGGGTATAATGCTCGCACGTGGGCCGGATTTCGATCCCTGGTCATCGCCCTCCCAAACTTCACTTAGCCGGTAAGAATAACACAACTGCTACTGAAACGTCAAGGCTCAAGCTTGAAGCCCTATTTTCCACTGGGAACGTAAAGGAATAAAATAATAGTAATGATAAAATAGAATGCTGTAACAACAGCTTGATATCGATATAAAAAGTGTTGCTGTGAAGTCGAACTATCTTTTGGACTAACTTTGTGCTCTAGCTATCGACTTTTACCTACCTGATAGTAAACAACTCATAAAATAATATCTTGTGTTATTGACGGTTCATCATCAGATAGTACATTTGTGTCTTAACAACAGGATATTACTAATGAACAGATTGAAAATAGATAAACCAACTAAGAGTAACTAGGTTACAAGATTTCATCATGAGCTGACATCAGTTAGAGAACCATTGGAAAACCAACTGGGAGTACTGGACAGCTGTTTCGTCTTAGTTTGGGACTCTTCATCAGTACCACCCACCGCCAGGGTTCGAAACCAGGACCTTCTGGTTACAAGGCGAGCTCGTAGACCACTAAGCCACTGGGACCCAATTCAATGGCTAGTGCATGAATTCTAACTTCTACCAATTCACGACATAGCGCGACCCCTAGCCAATGTCTTCGGTGGCGAGTATTTGTCCTCACACCCAACTTGCTGCACCTTACTCGTCACGACTTCTCACTAGAACCCCATGTAACTACCTACCTGAATAGGACAAGTCGCTAGTGAGCATCTCATCGATATTTAAGTGTTAGTTTGCTGGCGTTTGAGTAACTAGTCCATTTGCCTTTTGTTTAGAAAACAAATAGTCACAGGTCAATAAATAAATAAATGTTCACTTACCTAATTCAATATGCACTGGAGTATCACTGTCGGAACTTTTTACATTATTTAAAACAGAAATAATGGAGCGATTGATCATATTAACTCCACCGTTTGAGCCTACTTCACACTGACCAATGTACCGAAAACAACACCAGGGATTTTGATCAAAAAAACTATTTTTGATATGATTATTGCTGCTATCAACTAGATGGGGAAAAAAGAAGAGATTCAATATAGAACAAAGTAATTATTTCATACATTTGGTTCCCTTGATAAATTTTGAGAGGGAAAGAAAGACCAGATTTACAGTATAAAATGATATCATTCTATTTCACAGGTTCTCATCAGCTCTAATTACGATGGTTATAAATAATACCATTTCATACTTCATTGTTTGAAAGGTAATGGAGAAAGCACTATAAGGTGAAAGCATCTGAAATATAAGTATTATAATCTAAGTCACCATCAATTTATATACTATCAAACTATGAAATAAGAAAAGAAGAGGGGGGTGAGAGAAGGCAGAAAACAGAAAAATCTAATAAACAGTGTCAACATAGCAACTCAAGAAGGTCAAGGTTCAACAATTTGAAAACTTGCTTAGTGAGTTGAGCTCACTAGTGTGTACGACTAATCAGTGTAATGAAAGTGATATGGTTACCAAGGTAGTGAGAGATTGACCACACTCTCTTTCTGTATGCATAAGTTTGGTCTGTGACGTCTGATTGCAATTGCAAATAATTATTAATAGCATAATAAACATACTGCAAGACGCGTTAATTCCGATCATACTCATGTGATGATGAATTATAAAATGGATTATTTTTACAAAGATAAACAGTTATGTATATTCAGTTACATATATGTCCCAACAAATTTCACCTTTAACAGTTTGAAAAAAAAGATTTGGGCTTTGAGTATATGATATTCATTATAATAAAGGGTTTTGTCTTTATGAAAACAAAACGCCTAGTTCAGCGAAGAGTCTCTTTTAAGCGGTGAATTCATTTTCTTAGCTGTACAGGCACAAATATATGTGTTATTTTGTATGTATGTGTACAGTAAGTTTGTCAAACAAAAATACAATTGGTTATGGTTATTTTAACTAGACAAGTGAAGACTGGTAATTGGAGTTACGTAATACAAAATCAGTCAAAAAAATTAGGTGTTAATGAAATTAGGGTAGTAACAAAGGTGATAAGTTGTCACAAACAACTGTTAAAAAAGAAGTTTCGCTCTCCTTGATTGCGAAAAGGCAATAGTGGCGCAATAAGGAGTGCGATAATTGAACACCTGGTTAACACTGATCATTCCATCTCAACAAACTCCTCCTGCTTCAAAGTAATCTACAGAGTTAAGAATAAATAACCTACCAAAGGCAATACGGTTTCGTCATCTTTGTATCGCTGAAGCTCTGGCCATTCACATAGGAAAACCGAAGCTGTGCATACAAAAGAGAATTATTCAACCACTTCTATTATCATGGTAACAACTTTGTTGATTTTGATGACTTAATTTTGTTTCTTTGCCTGTTTCTTTAATTGCTTATAATTCTTGTATTCATTTAAAGCTCTTACGTAGTTTCATATTCTCTACTTCGTTCCTATGTGTATCCTGAATACAACTCAGTCATCAAACTATTCATATTATTACGTAACTCCTTTTTAACATCTGTTTCTGACAACTTATCAACTTTGTCACTACACTAGTCTCATTAACACCCGATTTTCTTGACCGTTTTTGTATTACGCAACTCCATCCAAAACTTACTCATTTTCACCTGTTTAGTTAAAAATAACCATAACCAATTGTATTTTTGTTTGACAAACTTAATGTACACATACATACAAAATAACACATATTTATTTGAGGTTGTGCAGCTAAGAAAATGATTTCGCCGCCGAAAACAGACTCTTCACCGAAATACGTGTTTTGTTTTCACTAATGCCTGGATGGGGATCATCCATGAATTTTTTGTATTAACCAATGAATCAAAAACAAGGGACGATATTGTTATTTTTACTGACGTTTCGCTATTTAATGCTGCTGCTCTAATAGCTTTATCAAAGTAGTAATATTAAACCAGAATTTACAAAATCTCAGCTTATACATAACAACTAACTTAATCATCGTTCCCCAGCGTGGGGTCATTTTTGCGTTGTCAAGTTGATGATACTTTTGTACTGCTAAAACGAGATCTACACAGTTCATTCTTGGAGAAACTGAACAATCTATCTCCCAGCATCCAGTTTACTTTGGAAGCAGAATCAGACGTCAATTAACTACCGTTACTAGACTGCCTAGTTAAGAGGAGAGAAAACGGACATTTTAGTATATCACGAAGTATACAACAGGAAGAAATACCACACCAACAAATATTTAGACTTCGGATCATCACACGCCATCAGTGCAAACGTATCAGTTGTTTCAAGTCTTCTTAAACGAGCACGCTCTGATAGCGGATGAGAAAGAAAAAGAAGAAGAAATATCAAACATTACTGAGACTCTCAAGCATAATAACTACCAAAAAATCTTAATCAGCAAAATTAACACTGACATTAAATATGGTCGAAAATGTATTTCGAAGACATGGGCCTCAACAGTTGTCATTCCATATAGATTTCAGACGTCAGACGATATCTGAAGAATACTCAATAGACACAATATCGGAGTTTTCTTCAAAACATCAGACGCACACACTACAAAGCAACCTAGTCCATACAAAACACCAAATCCCCAAATCTAATTGTGTCTACAAAATAAAATGATTGAAATGTGATGCGAAATACATCGGACAAACATAGACGGAGAGAAATCAAAATCAGGAGAAATGAACACCGTAGGCCAGCCTCTGTTTGATCACCAAGAAATCCAGTTAGTGAACTAGAAATGCTTGAGAAATCATCAGCCGTAGGTCGTTGACACGCTATAGAATCAGGCCACAAAATCGATTTTTGACAATTTTCAAATAATCCAGAAAAATTTCAGAAATCGAAAAGAACGTCTAATATCAGAAGCACGTCATAACAAATGGAATACAAATTATCTAAATAGCATTGATGGACTAAAACAAAATTTGACCTGGTTACAACACACCCCTTACCCATGAAATGGCAAAATCAACACGAATGTAATAATGAAAATACGCCAAAGTAACAGATAAAATTGTAAACAAAAGTGATTTTATGCATTTCACTATATCGACATGATGGAACCCCACATATCTGAACAATGTATTCAGGACAAAAAAGGGAGGTTTTCAATTCTTATTTCGCTGATATGATATTAGGTTTCTTTTGGAATGAAACTTAGTGAAACACTACTCATCTGCATAAGGGTGATTCAACCAAGCGCTTTTCTCATTTGTTCATTTGTGATTTTACTTCTCTACTATTTGTTTCCCTTGCTTATTATTACATAATTAGGTGTCAATCCTTTTTTAATTATTTCCATCTTTTAAATGTTTCGATTGAACTTCCTAAATGAATGCTTTTTGTAAACTGTGATTACTGATTTGCAGTTACTTGTAGATTAATTACAACAGTCAACTTCATGGATTTCTGATATCCTAAGAATCCTGTATAACCTATTTTATGAGTTCTACTTTTATTATTGTCATAATAATAGTAATTATTATTAATAATACCTGGAAATAATAAACTTTACAGAATTATACTTCTGGACATTTTCTGCTATTTGTTAAAGTGAGCTTCCCTTTTTATTTCCATACAAGATAAGTTTATTATAATAATCACACAGGGATGCAATGTTAGTGAATTGATGGCGTGTGTCGAACACAATTTATTGGTCATGATCATATCAGTTTAGTCATGCATTTTCACAATTTGTCTTATATTTCCTCTCTTTCTGTCTCTCCGAATTTCTCTTTGTTGTTTGTTGCCACCTCCCATATCTCCGGTATGCGCGTTGCGTCATTTCGACTGGACATATGCAGTGTTGAATCGATAAACAAAGCTTCAGTGACTAACCTCTCTCTCTTAATTAGATCTATGGGGTCCTTAAGCCTAAAAAGTTTAGCTCTGAGATAGTCGGTTGGTTGGTTTAAATGCCACCATAAATCCAGTCTGATTGAGAATTCTACGTAAGGCATACGTCAGAGGTAAACTTTGTTAGCTTAAGGACCCAATAGATCCAATTAGGAAAAATAATATAATTTACCAAATATCGTGTAATGACTGTGAAGTCAATTACATAGGTCAAGGTATAAGATCGCTGTCAACCAGATTATTGAAACATAATTTAGGTAGACCTAGAATAATTGAAACAGCGAAGTGAAATAACCAAGAGAAAATCTCAACCATTGACTGCATTCACTTGCATGTAATCACAAAATAGGTTGAGCGGGACAAAGTGAAAGTATTAGAAAATAATATAGTTAGGTGGAGACAGAGAGAGAAAAGTTAGTCACTGAAGCTTTGTTTATCGATTCAACACTGCATATGTCCAGTCGAAATGACGCAACGCGCATACCGGAGATATGGGAGGTGGCAACAAACAACAAAGAGAAATTCGGAGAGACAGAAAGAGAGGAAATATAAGACAAATTGTGAAAATGCATGACTAAACTGATATGATCATGACCAATAAATTGTGTTCGACACACGCCATCAATTCACTAACATTGCATCCCTGTGTGATTATTATAATAAACTTATCTAATATGGAATTACATTCTACCACAATGCCCAAGGATTATTATTATTATTGTTCCCTTGAGTTCCTAGTGGAATATAGGGCTTCAACTACACGTCTCCACTTGCTTCTGTCTTCTGCTGTACTTTTCGCCTGCATACATGTTAGTCCATACTGTTTCAACTCCTCTTCACACCATCTCCTCCATGTCACCCTTGCACTGACGACCCACTCGCCGCTTCCCTTTCGGCCTGGTTCCACTCGAGCAATGGCCTGACGCGCGCGCAATGTCACCCAGCGGCCTCCTCAGCGAGTGAGTGTCCAATCCATCTCCACTTTCTCCTGTATATTTGTTGGGCGATTCGTTCTTGTTTTGTTTGTTTGTGCCCATATTTTCTTGTCGGTGATTCTTTCCGGCCCGGCTATCTGATCTTCAGTATAGAGCCAGCGAAGACAGTTGTTGGTTGATAAAGGTCTGCAACAGGCTGTTGGAAATATTCTTTGTGACCCGCCCGCCAAGTTTCTGATCCGTATAGAAGAACTGACTGACTTGACGTTTGTATTGAAAATACGACCGAGTTTTGTTGTTGATGCTGGCTGAGTGACGAAGATTTCCAGATTGGTTTCAGGTTGATGAATGTGTTTCTCGCTCGCCTTCCCGCTTCTCGCTCGATTTGACATCCTCGTCCGTTCCTCCTGTAGTTGAGACAATGCTCCCTAGATAAGTAAATAGAATGAAGTAGCCTCTTTCAGATCCCTCCCATTGATGGTGATTGACGCTGGATGTTGCTGCTGTTGTTGTTGGTTGGTTGACTATTTTAATAACCTCCCTCTTGCCTATGTTTACCTGGAGTCCTGTCTTTGCTGCTTCTTCGACCAGTTTGTCGGTTTCCGCTTGTAAGCCTTCGATTTTGTGTGACATCAAACATAAATCATCCACGCACGAAATCCAGGTCTTCTAGTTTCTTCGCGTTGTTCCGGTTCAGGATATCCCTGTCTTCTCGTTTCCCACTCACAGTCTGACGCATAATCCAGTCAATACACCACAATTAGGAATATGGTGATAATAAGCCAGCACCCTTGTCTGACTCCTGTGTTTACTCCAAACGCCTCACTGAGTTTTCCGTTGTGGATCACTTTACATGTGCCGTTGTCGTACAGCTGTTGAATAAGGTTGGTGAATATTTGGGGTACGCCGTAGTACTCGAGTAATTTCCAAATTACTTCACGATCAACACTGTCGAAGGCCTTCTTAAAGTCTATAAAGTTGAGGTAGAGATTTGATTGACATTCCATGCTTTGTTCGATGATGATGATGTGTAGAGTTGCAACAGAACATGATTTGCCTGACTTTCCTGAATCCAGCTTGTTCTGGTCGGAGTTCTGTCTCTAGTGCGTCCTTTAATCTCTCCAGTATGATGCGAGTCAGGATTTTAATTGGCGTCGACAGGAACATGATTCCTCGCCAGTTCTTGCAGAGTCCTAAGTCGCCCTTCTTTGGTAGTTTCAGGACGTAACCTTTCCTCCAGTCAGTAGGCACCTTTCCCTCCTTCCAGACCTTTCGCAATAATGGAGTTAGCATATCTGCTGTGGTCTCTGGGTCCGCTTTTAGTGCTTCAGGGTGTATTCCATCTGATCCAGCTGCTTTTCCAGCTTTCAGAAGCTTGATTGCATTCAAGACTTCAGCTTTCGTTGGAGGATTGGTGTCAACTTGCAGTTGTGTACATTTATTTCTCTTTTTAAATCTATTAGCTTTTGATAGTCACTAAAAGTAAAGAAATCGTTACTTCTTTACAATAATATTTCCTAGTAAACTTCCTTACTGGTATTTTCGTCTCCTGAAAGTTGTATTATCTGTCTTCATTCAAATAATTTCAACGACAACAAAAAAAACGGTAACATAGAGCATTGAATTTGCAGTTACCAGTTGTAAATGATTTAACAAAAGACTGTTAGGGTAAATAAATTTTATAATTACTTAAACCTCCTCACGAAGCATTTATCTATCAAAGAAACAGTACATCTCTAGAAGCTTATGTCCATTTCAAAACTCAAAGAAAAAGGAAAGAAACAATCACCAGATAACTACATATATATCTTCCAAGAGTTGATTTGTAAGGGTTACACATGTGTTTTGAGTTTGACCATGGATTGATATAATAATAATTTTCTGTATTCCAGAAACAGTACTAGTGGTAAAGTGTAGAATTTTCAGTTAGAGAACCATTAAAAACAAGCAGGGAGTACTGGACAGCTGTGTTCATCCTAGTTTAAAAATGCACGCTAGTGACTTGCTACAGAACGAAGTTTCCTGGAGTTCTAGTGAGAAGTAGTGACCAGTGAGGTCCATCCAGTCAAGTGTGGGAATGGATGTCCCACCAATGACATTGGTTGGTAGTCGCGCTAAATCACTAATTGGTAGAAGTTAGAACTCATGGGATGGCCACTGAGGAATCGGGTCCCAGTGAGTGAATATTATCCGAGATTGCTTCCCATGTATCCGGAAGGTCCTGGGTTTGAACCCCAGTGGATTCGTATTGCCGACTATATATATCACTTGTTTTTAAGACATGTTGTAAAATAATGGTGTCAATTTTCAAGCTCTTATTCGTCTACGATTTCATCCATAAATTCAATAACAATAGACCTTGTTACATTATCTGGAGAATCATACACACTTAAAGAGCACTAAATGGTAAGAAACTACAGTACGATTCAAACAATGAGCAATAAGAAAAGTCTATAGCGAAAAAACACCTTATCAATCAACACACAATACCTTGTACAGTCTTCTCAAGTTCCATGATTAAATTAATATAACCATGTTCCTCCAGAAGAAGCTTCAAATGAGGATATATACGTCCATCAGGCAACAGTGCCTTTGTAACACCGACAGGAACAGGTTGTCCATCATGAAGAGAGCGTAGATTGCTTAAATAAACTCCAGAATTATGTAATTCACAACCATACATAGTAGACAATATATCGCCAACAGTAATTTGATTGTCTTCAGCAACAACTCCACCAGGATCTACTTCAGTAACCAAATAATGACCATCTACTGTTTCTACACGAGCACCAAGTATTCTGTCAAATAACGGAATATCAAGAGTTGTTCACTTAGAATAACAAACTCAGGGATTTATGAACATATTTAATTTAAACATCGTGTTTTGGTGGATGAGATATACGATGGTATAACTCATTATACAGTTATGTAGTGAAAAAGAGAACCCAAACCAGTTTATTAGAAGAAACTGAGGACTTTCACTATTTCAACAATCAACTAATGACATCATGATTAAGATGGGAGAAACAATTCGCCACTGTGCATTACGTGTTTTTAAACATCTACGTCGGTGGCACAGCGGTTAGGACGCTCGCCGACCATGCACGTGGTTCGGGGTTCGATCCCCGGCCGGCGCATTCCTTTACTTCGCTAGGCCAGAAATAATGCTGGTAAAGAGGAAAGGTTGGGTATGAGGCTGGCAACCCCATCCTGTAAAAATTAACACTGCTACAGAAACTTCAAGCCTCTAGCTTGGAGCCCTATGTTCCACTGGGAATGTGGTGGAAAAAAACATCTGCTTCACAAAGATGAAAGGTAACCTAAATGTGGGTTCTCCTAGTCGGACTCCTAAAGTCTACCTAGTGGCGTTGCACACTAACAATTTGATAATCTTATACTTTTTTTTCCTTCACGTTCCCAGTGGAACATAGGGCTCCAAGCTAGTGGCTTGAAGTTTCTGTAACAGTGTTTAATTTCGCAGGATGGGGTTGCTAGCCTCATACCCAACCTTTCCGCTTTACCAGCAATATTTCTGGCTTAGCTAGGTGAAGGAGTGCGTCGGCCGGAGATCGAACCCCGGACTATGTGAATGGTCGGCGAGCGTCCTAACCGCTATGCCACCGACGCACGATAAGCTTATACAGATGCAGTTAAATCCGTCAGATCGATTTAAGCACTGACTAAAATGTTACTATAGCAGATGAAGGTTAATGAAGCATATTTAAAAAACTGTTAATAATAAATCACACAGAATACAACATACTTGCACGGAACAAATGTGAATGTTTTGAACGCCGGTAGACACCAAGTTTCATCAAGGAATTCTGTATTTGCCACATTCAAACTGAAAGGAATTCGACTAACTTCACTAACAAGAGAACAAAATATTTGAATTAAAATTTCATTTCCCATAACTGATTGCGATTCTTCATAAAACTCAGCTGATAAATACGGATGACTTGACATGAGCTTAAATGGGAAGTCGATAGTTCCAGAGTGCAATAACATACGAATGAGGAGACGTCCACGTCCTTGAATAGTGGTAATACTGCGACATTTATGAACCTAAAACAACGCAATAATAATACGTATGTATTCAGTAGTATGTATCAAGCAAACTAAAGTGACTAACATCCAGAAGAAATAGAACTAAACAATTTATTACTATAAATCAAAAGACAAGCTGAGACCTGAGTTGTTGGTTTTCTGTTAAATTCATCCTTCATTCAGGCCGGGTTTTCAATAAAACATAAAGATTAGTCTGCCTTAGCATAAGGTAGAAAAATTTTGACGTAAGCTGTTTGTTGGATTTAAGTGGACACCAAAGATAAAATACTTGACAGTAAGTCTGGAACTTGTACGTCGTATATTTAGTTGATATCTTAGCTGCTTTTAATGTCACACTTATCACCCATATCGAAAAGTGGTATCAAATATTTCAGAGGTTCATATTGCTTAAGCAGATATTCTTCACCTTTTGGAATGGCAATCAGCTAAAATCGATCAATCAAGCTAAAAATCAAATATTTGACGATAACCGCATAATATTAAGTTTGCATTTAAATAATAATAAATATCAACTCCCGTGAAGTGACAGACTCATTGACTGTACTTGCTAGTCTGGTTTTAAGTTTGCTTAACATCACATTATGCGATAAAGATGAGATACATACGTCAAAATAATATGCACTGTTTACCTAGTGCTCACTTCATTTAGATACCTAATTTACCGTTAAAACTTTAACCGAGCTAAAATAATTACCTTCCATTCATCGCTTTGATCTACTATCTTCAATTATAAAAACTAGGACCAACATCATTTAGACGCCGTAAGCAGAGAGTATTGTCAAGTTTTATGTAACCTTCGCAAATGTAAGCCTAACTTCCTTGTCAAAAATATGCCTGTTTGTTTTGCTACTGCGAGTCAAGTTCTACTTCAGACAGCAGATCAAACACTAACTTAGATATTATCCAAAAGTACAATTTTATTTAGTACTACAACCGTCCTGATACTAGAGGCGGTTCGAGGAAACGAATTACCGTATAAAATCAGAACAAGTTACTCACATAACTTCCAAGCTTTGTTTAGACAGTTTCATTACTTCTTTTCGTTTGATTTTATTGGTAATATTTTACATGTCTCCGATATTGGTATTGTGCCGACGTAGGTTCGATGAAGAAAGATCAGTGATCAACCTGTCTCTTCATTTAATTGTGCTACGTTATAGAGCTTAAGTTCCGAAAGTGTGTTAGCACGTGTATAGCAATGGTTGAGATTTTTCTACGTGTAGAGAAATTAAGGATATGTCTTCAACATAGTGAATATCATATTGAGGCCTGCCAATAGGGTTTATGGGAAGCTTCCGACAATCTAAAACCTGGGGAAGGATATGGTTTTTAAATTTAGTAATTTAAATAACACCTCAGTTATAATCTATACTTTACAAAACCGTAGGATTAGGATGAAATAAATTCGAAAGAACTTTATTTTTATATAAAAATAAAGTAGTAAAGTAAAGTAGTAGTAAAAATAAAGTAGTGCAATATTGCACTAAACCTTCACTGAAACCAGTTTAGTTCACAAGACAGACGAACTGTCTCGGATATGTGACTTGATAAATCACCCAGAAACTTATAAAGTACAGACAAAACGCTTCTGCTGAAAAGTTCGGTTGGTCTGCAAAATATCTTTAGGTAAGACTACACTCCCGGGTTGGCGTAGTGAGCTAAACACTATAGTTGATGTATCATTAATTCACTAGACAGCTGAAAAATACAAATTCTGTTGATGAATTCGAGTGGCTCTAACTAAAAACGAGGCCAAGTGAGAATACGTCTAGCTATGGCTATAGGTCTCCTCAAATGAGGAAAAAGCTTTTCCCGTGTGACACTGAAGGTTTTTACTCACATGGTTAACTGCCTCTTGATAACTTGGGTGGACGAAAATTCCGTATTCCTTACAAATCTGTGGAACCTTCTTCATCCAATCCCAATAATCTTTTCGTCTCATCAAGCGACGTCCGCACTTCAATCCCATCCGGAAAACTGACTCCAATGACTCACATAAATTTTGTAAAAAGTGAGTTTCATCGGTAACTACTTCCAGGTGTTCATTATGAAACTTGATTATGCATGATTTCACCTGTTCAAAGTAAATAGGCTTCTCAATCATCCTGTCGAATTCCCGCCCATTCGGTCTACGCGGTTGTATAGCATAAACAATGGGCAATATGTTGGCAACGTGCTTAAATATATACACTAATTTTTTCTTCCTCGCTTTCAGATAGTCACAGTTATTCGAGACCTCTAGTGAATTCTAGTTCAGTAAATCTCCCTGTCATACCTTAGGCAGAGATTTCATCAAATTGTTTAAAGAAAAATCCCCATTTGGACATTTAGAAAACAGAAAGATTGAGAGAAGAAATATTTAATTTTTAATTAGATCCTCATCTCTGCATTGATTTTCTTCGTTAACTATTAACCCACTGACATTTTGACACTGTCTAATTATTGTTAACAAACTTATCGCCACTTGATTGGCAAACTATTGTATTGTAATTAAAATGCTATATATATTAAAGTAAAGCCAGAAATGAGGATCTAATTGAAAAGTAAATATTTCTTCGCTCAATCTTTCTGTTTTCTAAATTGTTTAAAATTTAAATAATGAATACGGACGTGAACTATTTTCTCTTTTCCTTCCCACCAGGTCGGAACACCTTAGAGAACATAAGCCAGGAAGAAATTATAATGCTGTAGAATAGTCATTCTCACACCGAGTCATAAACTCTTGGAACCGACTCCCAGAAGAAGTGGTCTCTGCAACCTCAACTGACCCATTCAAGAAGGGTTTGAACAACCACAGAAAGTTACTAGAAAAGGATTAACGTAGGCTCCAGGCCTTCTATCCTCAACCAATAAATCTGAAATTTGAATATGAAATCTTCTCAATGAGCTGTTGCGACTTGATGAAAGTAGTGGGCAAACGCCAAATCATCTTTGAATGCTTGATAGTTGAGTTGGTGATTGGATTTAGGCTAATCTACAGCTTGTTGTCAGTCGTAGTGAAGGAGACAGAGGTCAAGAAAAACGTGAGTTTGGTACTAACAACACCAATGAGAGCATTACAACAGTTCACATGCATTCTTATGACTCTTTCAGAATGACTTGAACTGCTAAGAATTCAGTCGTTTCTATTCTCGTTATAACTGATGCCTGCTTCTGTCGAATTCCCAGGTGCTGCGTCCGTTTTCTCGGTAACGGACACACCATGACCACTCTTGTCCCGTTTCCTAGAGCTATTTCAACAAGTAAATATTTTATGATGATATATTGCATATACACCAGGTACCATTTGCACAATTCTATTTTAATGACATGGCCAAGGTCGAAATAGCTTCAATACACATGCATACGTGTTATTTTGACCATTACATATGTCCACGGTACAGAACTTTCAAAGTGCTTCATATTATATATTTATTCCTTGGACAGAACCTTTGACATGAATAAGACTGGAAATCATGTTATACTTCATTTGAAGCACCGTCCTATGCCCCTCAGTATTTCCCCCTTCGTCTCCGCCTGCAAGTAAATAACAATAAAACAACCCGTCGACCGACATGTTTAGCTTCCTGACAGTGCGATTAACTATTCGCACCATTACTTTCCATTAGTGTTTCATATATTTTGTTTCAATTCATGCTTGCAATAAAGTTAAATATTATCAGTAACAATTTTAGTACTGAATTCCAACCCCTACAGCAAGTATTCCCAAGGCACTAGGAAGGAAATTAATACCTATGCATTTGGATATTGAATTCATGACTTGACGTCATCTCCAGAAGTGCATCAGAAGTTTTGAAGATGTGTTACAGCTGTGCCGGTTTGGACCCTCATCTCAGGAAACTTGTATTTCAATTCTTCTTACTCAATCGTCCCTGGCGAAAAACCTGAAGGTAAGCATCAAAGATCACAGTGAGTAATATAGTGCACCCATAACCGACTCTGCCAGTTAGAAAAAACGTGCTTTCCGCTAGCTTTCAGAATTTAGCTGATGACTGAATGAATTTTCGTAAAAGTCCAGTGGCCGGAGCCGTGAAATCTCTCATAGCACACGAAGGGAAAGAACAAATTTTGAGGGAGTACAATGAGCGGAAACGTACGGGACAAAAAGAAAGTGCATGGAGAAATGTGGAGTTCGGCGGATATATGACTTCAGATGGAATGAATGCATCTGAACTAATGAGAATAATTTTGAGCCGTGTTACCAGCAGTCTCCAGTCATTGGTTCTTGGAGCCACGAAGACCCAAACTTGTCAGTTCACACACCTGAATGGTTACAATCGGCTGTCGAAGACTTCTAGAACGGTGCCAGGTTTTCATTCGATAAACCCCGTCTCTATTCCAGGCTAGCATTGCTCGACGACGATAGCTTGGCATAAGTAATAAGTCCCAATCAATGTGGCTTCATAACTTCATGGACCATTTCTTCCATAACCTGCCGCCAAAAATGACCTCGATATTGCCCGCCAGAGAATGCAAGTACCTGGGGTCAAAGACGGTTAGTTTACCAAATTTTTCCACTGTTATTGGCCATGCCACGACCGTAGTGAAGGTCAGAGCAGACTTCAGTGTAGCACATGTGGTTTTTAATCGATAACTCCATATCACGTCCACGTCAGAGGTGACGCAAGTTGGCTAAAGTGTGTCAGTCTTCCGTAAACCTGCCAATATTTACCAGCAGTTCATTATGGTCGATGCAACTTCCTAGATATGTAAAGTGATCAACATTCCCAACCAAATCATTCCTGTCTTTTAACCTGGAGTAGATACAAAATAGTTTTACAATATTATCTTATATCTCCGGTGCCTCTTCCTTTACAGATCAGTGTGTCATTAGTGTGAATTCATCTGACTGTTATACTTTCAGTACCAAACTAGATTATTGACTGACACTACTGGTTATCATCGCTTTAGAAGGCAACTCTCCGTAAGCCGCCGCATGGATATGTGATTTCCAGTAAAGTGAGATATATTTTCTAGGCACTCTCCGCGACCATACAGCTGACAAAGTGAAATGACCTTTATAATTGAGAGAACATTCCAAGTGCTAGACGATAGAGGTGGAGATACAAATAATGCTTTCGCTTCCTGACCTAAAGCCTGCCTCCCTTTAATGGGTTCTTTTCTTCTGAGAACCAGAGTTCCAGATACTATGTCAGTTAGTCTACAAAATAGGATGTTATGTTTACTCAGGAGTAGCTAATGATTAAAAGACTTAGAAGGATAAGACGAGTGCCCTTCAGTGTGCTTGACTGCGTTACCCTGCCCCGCTCGCCTACTGCTGTGTTTTCAAAAATAAGCTTATGAAACCTACAACTTCCCTCTGTGTTAATGTGAGTTTTCAGTCGTCAATTATTTGGGTAATTATCTCAATGGGACAGTCGGTTACCGAACTAATATCCTAATTGCTGTCACCATAAAACTTGTCCCTCCCCACTTAAACTGGGTCAACTGACAGTTTACACCAACCCAACTATGCAATCTCTGATATCCGCATACTACCTAATATCTTAGTTAACCAACTAAACTGTCCGTTGCCGCCACCCTTGAAGACCCCTGAAGTCACTCCATTAGATCCTGCTGCTTCACCTAGTTTCAGACTGAAGATGGCCTTTGCAAACAGATTTCAATTTAGAGGACAGATATCCACGTCCCTTAGTTGGTAGGTGTTGGACACTGACGCCATTGTTAACAGTCACTGAGAGGACTCCATGATTACATTTTTGCATCTTCCACTCTTCGTCGTATTAGCAGCTGTCCTCAGTCAGCTTCCTTGCATATGTCCATTCACATGAGGCAGCAGAGATTCACTGGCATTTGCAAACACTAAGTTGTAGGTCACCGGAAGTCTCTACCACTTTTATGTAAATGACTAGATATTAAACGGGCTAATTCAGAGGGATTCTTGCTGCCATTCCAGTGCACACACCTAATCTTTTCATTATGATACACGGACTTTGTGTCCTGCTCTAGTAGAATTAGGTACAAAAGTTTTGATGCCTCTTGTCTTCTATGTCCTTCCAGCCAAAAGAATACACTTGCGCTCACTATTTCATGTCTCTATTCGGGAGGGGAGAAAATCTAATAGAGCTCTCTATCAGCAGCTTATGGCTGCTTGATATATTTGAGCCCATGAGTGAATTCATAATGGACTTTGCCAGGTTAGGCAATGTCTCTCCTTACTTTTGAGGTTAGCGCTGACTAGGGTTAGATAACTGGTTGAATGGAATTACGAAATACGGCCAACATTATCAGTTCTTCAGCATATAGGTGGTTCAGCATACTTTTCTGAATCTAAGAGCTTTCCCACTCGGGCACCGAGGGCACCTGCCAAAGTAATCACATCCACACGTTTAACTTAGAGGGGGAAACTGGGCAGCTTTTGATAGAATTCACGCTCTACTCTGCACGAAAGGCAGTCTGCTGTAGCATGTGGGGAAGTTATGAAATGATACCCACGTGGTCCACTGTCTATCCTTCTTCTAACAGGTGCGAAGAGATGGACAGCACACTTCCACTATCCACTAGAATCCAGTCAAGTAGCATGCTTTTGCCCTAGAGTTGAATGCCATATTTGCACGCAGAATATATCAATACCCGTAAGGTGAGTGCTGCGAACTCACCAAGTTGCCCAGGAGAGATTAAGTGATCAACATTACTTGGGGCTAATGTGAGTGTTTCTGAAACATAACATACATCAGTGGTTCCAGGTGCCAGAGTTTTGACCAATGAGGACTGTTGTCCGACTTGGAAACGGGTTCTAAAATCAATGCTCCAATGTGAAGTTAGCAGCGTGGTTATAAGAGAATATTTGTATTATTTTGCCAGCTGCAGAGGTAACTAATGGCCATTAAGTCAAGAATCCATGTTTAGTATCGTACTGATAATGACTAGAAAGCAAGAAAGTGAAGGCTGGTTACAACATTGCCAACCATAGTGTGCAAGTAGCAAATGCTTGAAACGCGAACGGTCTAATTAACACGAAATGCAAAGTGGTACACAAAGCACAACTTCGATGTTTAAAGGTGGAAATATTAGATGCAACACGTGGCGTTTTTGGATAGGTTTCCGGATCCGTATCTGTGATGAGTTCTGACCGCCAGCTACTGACCACCGCCAGGCGAATTGGAATGCTTGGTTTTTTCGGTCGAACGGTGCCTACTCCACCCCCAGATGGACACTGGCGCCACACCTGACTAGCTGTTCATGAGGGGGGAACATCTTACCGTTGTTGGATCCCTATTCTTTAGAAGCGCAACTCGGCCTCCAGGCCCC